TCGGTGAAATCATTTATTTAAAAAATCAAATTAAATTTCTTTTTCAAGTTCAATTAGTATAAAATTCAGGAAAAATATTCAGTTAGGCTTCCGCTTTTCCAAATCCGAATTGCCGGGCCTTACGCTTGACCCCTGCCATCAGATTTTGTACAGCCACCTTGTCCACCTTCTTCGCCGCAGAAAGCCAGTTTGCCTTGAACTGCTGCTCGCCCTTAGCAGTTTTTTTGGTCTTCTTTAGGTTCCGCTTGACAATAGCCCAGTATTTCTCAATTGGGCGGAGCTCTGGCGTGTTGAGAGGGTTCTTGTCCTTGGGAACCACCTGCACGTTGTTGGCGGCGTACCACTCCATGGCCTTTTTACCGTAATGGCAAAATGCCAAATCCGGCCAAAACAGTACGGAACAACCGTGTTTCTTCAGGAAAGGCAGCAGACGTTTATTCAAACACTCTTTCACGTAAATTTCTTGGTTGACAGTCCCGGAAGTTATGAAAATGCTGCTTTTCAAGCCACAGGTACAGATGGCTTGCCAAACCAGATATTTCTTTGCGAACTTTGACAGTTTCATGTGCTTGAAAACATCTGCTACCTTTCCCCTTCCTTTTGCCGTACAAAACTCCTGTCCCGGAAGCTGCTTGTAGTCGGCTTTGACGTAGGTTTCGTCGTCCATTACCACGCAGTCAAACTTCGTCAGCATCGTCGTGTACAGCCTCCGGGATCGCGCTTTGGCCGTCGTATTTTGTTTATCATCGCGATTTGGAGTCACTACCTTCTTGTAAGTCGATAGTCCGGCTCGTTTTTTGGCTCGATGCACGGTTGTAGACGATACACCCAGCTTATTTGCGGCATCTCGGAGAGAGAGGTTAGGGTTTCGCTTGAAACTACCGGCAACTCTCTTTGTCGTCTCAGCGGCTTCCGGTTTTCGATTTCCCCCCGATCCAGACTTCCTGGCTGTCGACAAACGTTCCCCAAACACTTTAATTACATTTGTAACGGTTGATTTGGCAACTTTTAGCGATTTTGCCAACTTTGCGTGCGAGTAGCTTGGATTTTCGCGATGCGCGAGCAAAATTTTGATACGCTGCTCTTCTTGCTTGGACGGCATTTTGACAACTGAAGAGTGAATTCCAAAATCAAAATAGGAGCAACATTCTACACACACACACCTTCAAAATGAGGGGTGTTCAGGTTTTTTAAATGCAAAATTGAAAGAAATACGTCAAGTTGATATTGACCAAATTTTGACCGTATCACCCTTTAGAAAAAAAAAATTTACACCAGAATTTCAGAATAAACCATTAAAAAAGAGTGATCCTTTATCAAATGAATGTCTTGCTCTATTTGCTGCATAATTTTTTTATTCGTTTTATTGTTTTTAAAATTTAATCACTCAGCAATATTGTAAATTGATTTCAGATGTAAAGTGCATGGTCCTTAAAAAAATATTGAAGATGTTGGACTTTGGAGACAAATATTTGTAAAAACTGAAACTGAATCATTCTTTTCCGGGGGTTTAATTTTTCGTTGTTCAAAATTCTCATGACATGAATTCCAGAATTAACTTGGAATTCTGTTCTGAATTATCTTGAAATTGTTCTGAAATAAACCAGAAAACACTCCGCGTAATAATAACCGTTGAATTCTTTTTGGAATTACCTTGCAACCGCTTCTAAGAATTTAATTAGAATCATTCTTAGAATTCCCTTGAGCCGATTTGGAAACTTTGATTCCTTTGAAAATCTTTTCAAAAATTTCTTTTAATTCTATTCAAAACAGCAGAAATCTTCCGAAATTTTATTTAGAAGCCCCTTGGAGTATTTTAAAGAATTTCTTTCTAATTATCAGCAATTTTTTTGCAATCGATTTTGTTGGAGTTCTGTGATGAATCTTTCGCACAAGGGTTGAAATTATTGCCAGAACATTCTAAGAACTCTGTTTCATGTTGAATTCTGATCATAATTCTCTTGGTATTCTTCATAAAATTCATCTGTCATTTTCCTCACGAACCCAATACAAATCTCCTCAGAATCACTTAGAAATTTTCCTCAAAGTTTTGTTTTTCACAACTCCTTTTTAAATCTCCTAAACTTACCTAACAAATTAATTGAGAACTTGCATTCTTCTCCACAGAAATTCCTCCAAATTCTAGATAAACATTTCAAATGGTCCTATCTGCTTTGATCGATTCTCTTCATCGACTTTCTCTTTCGTCAATAACTCAACTGCAAAACCTTTCCCTGTTGTGTTTGACGTTTTGGACGCTAGATATGAACCTCCTTTATCAAACTATGTGGTAGAATTAGCGCGAAATCTGTTTGCATAGCAGTGGTTATGAAAAGAGAAAGTCGATGAAGAGAATCGATCAAAGCAGATAGGACCATTTGAAATGTTCATCGAGAATTCATCTAACAATTTCTAAGGATTTCATGTCAGAATAATTCTGGAATTCTACTCAGAACTTCTCCTTCAAAAACTGTGTGGGAATCCTTTTCAATATTTTTTTGAAATCAACACTTTGAATGCTTTAAAATTTTACTAAAAAATCCAGGGTTTGTCCGCTAGATTCTATAGATTGTTCTGTAATTTGTTATAACCCTTAAAATAATTCCAAGTCTCAGAGCGTGACATTTATGACTCCACGACTCATAAGTATGATATTTTTGTTTTTTTTTTTTAATCTGTGATCTTGAAAATTTTTCAAAATCTCACATTTTAATTATTTTTTCTCCAAATCTTGCATCACGAAGATTGTTATTAATCACAAATTTTGAAAAAAAAAGGTTCTAATTTCAGACTCTACACAAATTTTAGAGCATCAAAATCTTGGGAATCTTCTTAAATCACATTTTTTATCCTTTCAGTAAATTCCTTTCCGGACGTTCTTAAAAATGCGCTCAATTTCGTTTTCTTGTTGAATATTAACAACCGGGAATTTTTTGAGATTTAAACCGGGAAAACCGGGAAAACACCGGGAATTTAAAAATGAAAATTCACTGGCCACCCTGAAAGAGGAAATATGCCAAAACTTTATCGATTTTGCTACCAGGTTGCCGAAAAACTGTTCTCTAGATATGTATATGTGTTGTTGTTGCTATCTTCTCTTCTTGATCAAAAGAGATTATAAATGTAACTGTATTTTCGGATGCGATTAAAGTCCTCGCATTTTGGAGCACTGTCTGGTCGGAGCCCTGATGTACGCCATCACAATTGACGCATTTGTGCTGGTTCTTGAGCACAGTTACTGCACCGTTGCAGTTACGTCTCCAAAATTGAGGCACCTCTGTCACTGTGTTACGTCACAATGGCCGCCACGGTATGGCTCCCAGCATATGATGATGAAATATATCGAGCGGACAGCTTGCAGCACATCACAGAGAACAGACGTCCAACTTTCACCAGAAACCTGTGTAAAGATAAATGGGAACGTTACCATTATGTAGCGCTAGCATCTCCTGATTTCTTCTATAAATGTTCCACTTTCGACCAATTTGGCGCTAGTATCGATAAATTTTCAGTTGAAAATTACCACTCGGCGCTAACTGCACTTAGTGTCTAGTGTAAGTTGTGCAACGCCAGCGCCATCATTTTGTCAAAGAGAGTTTTTAGGTGGGGAAGTCGGCGTTGGTGGCGCTTAAGTCGAATAGGAATCTTTACACAAGTTTTCACAGAAATTTATTTCGAGCATCAACGTTTGTTCTCTGTGAGCACATTAAGTGTCACCGTCCCCTTTTGGAAGTGGACCAGGAAAAGACAATCCGGGTACGTCTTCACCTTTTCGTCTCTCCTCGTCATCCGGAAGACAGCGATTGAGGCCAGGTTGTACCGGTCCTTGATTTCTGCTTCGATCGTCTTTGGATCAAAGTTTGATAAGCCCCTGATGACTACCGTGGACCCCCGCTAATTTGAACGACAGCTGTTCGGAAACTTACAGTTGTTCGGAAACAAGATGACTATGAATCATCGGAAGGGGGAAGTTGTGTCAGACGAAACGGGCAGAAAGCCTGGGTCCAGTGGACAATTGGTATCGGGACTTCAGGCCAGGGATGGATCCACCTCAGAACAGAAAAAGAGAAAAGTAAAATTCCAACGCTCTTCTCCGCTATGGTTCGACTTCCCTTTTTTAAACTGTGGACGGCTGTTCGGATGGCCTCTTCAATGTACAAACAACCGAGGAAACCATATTTTGTTTCTCCTTGAGAAACGTTTTGGCTTGATTGAATCCGTCGATACGATGAGTGTTCCAGCAAATTCCACACGTCATCATATGTCTCACATTTAATTTTCCACTTATTGTGAAACGTATCCATTTCATGTGTGAACCTGCTTTGAACAATGCCGCAACACTATTGGTTCGAATTGTGTCACACTTGGAGTCTATGTGCTTCACATGGAAATATCAATAGCTTTGCTCATCATAGTTCAATGTTCTACAATATTCTACGTTATCGACTTCTACTTTACCGACTCCAACATTGAATCGACAAATTTATAAACAAAGCTGCCAGCAAACATACACATGCCTTTTTAATGGGTCTGATTTGGAATTTGATCCTGGACTGTTGTGGTGTGCTGCTGCCGTTGTCTTCGTTCGATCTCATTGGGCCACTGGGTTGGAGACCTGCATCTGGTTGGTGAGGTTGGATGATGGCAACGAACGGAGGAGTGTGGTTACTTTGATGAGGAGCATCATTCCTACATGGGCGAGAGGACGAAGTACATTGGTAGCTACAGAAATTAATTGATTATTCCGTCGAGTGGTTGATCAACAGGATCGTGGTTGGTATACCGGAGAAGGACTGGGAATCGTCGGAGCTGTTGACGGTGGTCGTTATGAAGGAGAAGCTGCGTGGTGGCTTGTTGTTTTGCCAATCGCTAACGGAACATTTTGAAGCAGGCTTCCGAGGATTAAGTGCTTGGTGTTTGATGTCTTCTTGAAAGAAATTCCAACTTTTACAAACACGACTTCAATTTACTTACAAAAAATTTCATTTCCTTTTTTTCAGAAATGCCAAAACTCTGGACCAAGCAAGCGGTTACTGGGCTGAGGCCCTTCCGGTCATGGAGACTCCACTGTGCGCCGTAGTGGACCCGGTTCGAGACTTCCGTTGGCATGCCCTCCGCTGTGGAGGACCAGAAACAGCTGCCTTCCTGTGTGAACTTCCAGGTATTTTCATAAGATCTATCTCTTTTCTGATCTTTAACCGATTTACCGCTCATTTCAGTACCGTCGTGGGCCTTGGACTGCACCGTGACGTCGATGCCTTCGCTGACCGTACAGTACATGTCGGACAGCGGAGCCGTACAGCTGGCCCGGGACTGCGGCGAGCAGGGCACCCGGCACATGTCCTGTCAGGGAAAACTCGATCGGGATACGATCCTACAGCAGTTGCAGTGCAGTGATCAGGAGGTGGATCCAGCCCAGCTAGCAACCGAGAATAACCAGCTTCCGGTGGAAGTGGCAGCCGGAGCAGCAGAAATGGCGGAGCAACAACAGATGTCGGTTGCTACCAGAAGAACGCTGCTACCGCAGATCTTGGACCATGATATTCTGACGGTGGTGTCTAACAATGATGAGGACAACAACATTGACGTAAATCCGAGCCAGATTGAGGACACTGTGAAGAATGTGATCAACAAGTTTAACCTGGCTGATTTGATGCAGAACGATCAGTCGTTGCACAGCGACGAGATGGATGGCCATTATGACGAACAGGAGAAAGAAGTCAAGAAGTTGGGTGGAAAGAAGTATTCATCGATGTTCGAGAAGAAGGGCAAATTTGATAAGAAGGGCGAGAAGAAAGTGGACGAGGATGAGGAGACGATGATGGGTGATCAGCCGGACGAGACAGAGACACAGCCGATCGATATCGTGCAGCAAGCGATGAAACCGACGGAAGGTGATTCGGATGAGAGTTCGACGTCTGGAGTGGTCGGAAGCTCGACCGAAGGAGCAGCAGCATCAAGTGAAGCCATTGTGGTAGAGAGTACTACGGTAGACTCCCGATTACGCCGAGCAACTGATGGTGAAACGGTGGAAACAACTGAAGTTCCGACGACTGTTGAATCTACGACAACGACTACGACTACGACAACTACCATGGAACCGACTACGAGCAGCACAGCCAGTCACATTCTTCCAACCACACCTAAGAAGGAAATATCCGCCATCGGAGACCACTTCATACCGCCAATGCTTCTTGTGAAGGCTCGCTTCACTTCCACAAAAGCTCATGTAGACACCACCACCACCACCACTGTGGAACTCCTAACGGAAACTCCTGAGCCTTCGCCGTCCAGTTCGGCTGCGCCAATTTCGTCAACCGAAGATCCTACCACTGCAATTATGACCGACGAAACCTACGCAGTTTCCGATAGCGGAAATGACGTCCAACTTGTTGAGCTAAACGACAAAACCTCGTCCCCAGAGATTTCCACCTCTACCGAATCCGACGTCACTACCACCCATCAGGTCGTAGAAATAACATTCGAAGATAAGGTAATTTCTTCCAAAATTGGTACCCTCAGCATCACGACCCGTCCATTTACGGCAGGCGAACTCCAGTCATCGACGGCCGTCCAAAACGCCACAGCCCTCCCGGAAACTGCTTCCACAACTGTAGTTTTGCCAACCACTACTACAACCACGACAACAACTACGACACCTGCTCCAACAACAACGTCAGTCCCATCAACGACTACGACTCCTTCCACCACCCTAAGACCAACGACCATCCAGACCGTGACCGAGCACGAACTCCACCAGGACGATGACGACACTGATGATGGTGCCGATGACCGTCATGACAGCCACGAGGAAGAGGACAACGAAGCCGATCATCACCACGAGGAGCTGCACAACAGTTTTTCCAACATTGAAAACTTCCAACCGTACAAACCGAACCGGCACCGCAGTCTGACCAAACCGGAAGTGCACAACAACCACGGCAACTATATCAAGAAGATTCTCGGTTGAAACCGAACGCGACGCTAGCAGTAGGCTGCGGATGCCATATGCACTTTCCATCAACACCGATGGCTATTCGATTGCTTTCCCCGCCCCTCCGGCACCGCAGTGGAAGCAGCAGTAGATACTAAGCTGACAACTACAAACGTTTGTTTTGATTTTGGCAGAAAGTAATAAACTGAAACACTAGTAAATAGATACAAAATTTCTCACTTTTCCCCCCTCCTCAGCAGAAACTAATCAAAGTAGGCAGTTAGCAGCAGACCTTTTTGCCTGTGAAAGCAGTTTAAACTTTTGACGAAAAGCGCAAACTAACGTTGCATCAATCAATATCGTTCTTTTTCTTCGAAAAATTAAACAAAAACAAACAATTAGCGAACTAGAGAACGCTGTGTAGAGTAGAACTCCCGTTGCAGAAGAAATGTTTCCCTTTCGGTTAAAACAATTGCAAAACAAAAACTATCTTTCACACAGGTTAATGAAATTAGAGTTAGAAAAACTAATACAAAATACAAAACAAAGAAACACGTTGCCAATAATTTGAAAACCCAATTTAAGTAAAATAGTAAAACCAAACAAAAGAAAAGAAAAAAAACAAGCAAGAGTTGTGGAAGAGATTGGAAAACCTTGCGGATGAAAATACTATAATCATTAAAAATTACGATCTTTAGCCGTGTAATAACGTTGATCCAAATTGATTTTGACTGCAGTGTCGCAGTTAGCAACCATTTGCAGCTATTAACGAATGCTAAAATTGTAGCACAAGCTAGAACTTTAGAAAGACGAAGAACGCCAGAACAACATTAAAAATTCACACGATCTTTTCGCACGTGCAAACTCCCATAATTATCGTGGTTAGTTGGTAAGAAATTTACTGGAATAAGGAGATGATTTTAATAAAAATACATTAAATTTAACGACTGCGGTGTGGGTCGGTTAATCTGTCCGAAAAAGAAGTCCGATTTAATACCAATAACTTCCCCCTTATTCTGCGCCGCGAGTGAGGTCACTAGTGAGGGGACAAAAGTCACCGCGAGTGAAGGGCCTCCGTATATTAACTCTTAATATCTATCTGAATGTTAATTAACCCAAGATTACATTTCACTTCCACCTTACCTGAGCTGTGATTTACCACCATCCATCAAAACAAAACAAAAATCAATACTCGTTCGCATCCATCCGCTCGCCTTTATTTCACAGCACCTCCCTCTGCTTCCCGACAATCTCCCCGTAGAAATCGAACACCTTTGCCACCGCCTCCTCGGACATCCTCAGCGCCCGGTGGTACTGCTCCGTCGTAAACTTCCCGTGCGTGTAGATCGAAACCGTATTCTTCGTACAATTCTCGAACACAAACGTGAACTTGGCCCGCGCATCCTTCGACTGTAGCGCATCCGGATCCAGTACAATTTCGCCGTCCTCCCGCAAGATGCTGTGCACCGCCGCCACCAGGTACTTCATCTCGACGCCGCTGTTCATCAGCGCCAAACACACGGCATTGATGGCACAGGCCACCAGCCCACCGAGATCCTGCATCTCCTGGATCTGGACGGAAATGGCCGTCCGGGGATGAAGCCCCGTCAGGATGGCCGATTCGTATGTGTTCCTAATTAAGCTCTCCAGCAGCCGATCGTTTACGCTGCCCATTCCGGAGCGGGGTTTGAAGTAGATGTCGATGCGTGCCTTTTCGACGTTCATGTGCTGCAGCTTGACCTCGATGGGACCGTTCACCGAGGCGACGACGGCGGTTTCACCTAATTGGATTGCGATTGGGAATAAAATTGAAATAAAATGAAAATGGAATCGTTGGGTGTTTACCTTGTGTCAGCATGGCAGAGCCATCGGATCTGGTCAGAATGTTGAGCTCACAGTGCATCGGTCGCAACGAATTTTCCGTTTTGTCAGCAGTCATTTTGGCACAAGCGTGTAAATTTTAAGGATATTTCACAGAATTTAAACTTAAACTAAATTCTCTTGCA